CACTACAAGAAAGTCGATCATTTAGAGTTCCCAAAAATTGGGAACCGCTTTGCTAGTACCTACATGATATACACGATTCTATTGACAGAGTACAAATTTAAAAATCTGCGAAATGAATATAACAATATTAAAACTCGATATAATTTGTTCCGTTCTATACTATAAAACAAACTAAATATTCTAAAAGGAACATTATTTAAGATATAAATATATTTCTCATGCATTGAATAAAATCTGCTGAAGAATATGTAGTAAATGAGCATTGTTCCCTATAATTCATACAAACTTTGTGTTTCTTCATTCAAAGATTCAAATCAAAAATGGTTACAATTTGATGACTGTTATATGTTAAGCCCTTAGTGGATCTAAAAATATATAGGACCTTACTTTCTAATTAGTAAATAATTTATAACAATACAATCAAGTTATCACCTAAAAACTACTAATAAGTAGGATTTTGAAAGTAGATCATATCACAGTCAATTTAGTACACAAATATTCTAAAAACGAAACTATTTTATAGACTTAAAATTTAATTTATAATAAATATGATAATTAAAATCCTTACACAGTCACATATTTGAAGAATATTGCACAAATAGACTAAATGTAAAAAATAATTTTTCTGTGTCCTTTTGAAGCACAGACAAAAGCATCTAGAAATCGCTACAAAAGCGATTTTGAAAAAGGAAAATTAGTGTTGAATCCCCTCCGGTACGCCACCGATTGCCATTTTAAAGCAACGGTAGTGTAATGAACAGGATTAATTCTTGGCACGCGAGAGACCCAGGTTCAAATCTTAGCGACGTCGAAAGATTAAAATTTAATTAATTGGCAGTAAGGCGGCAATTAAATATATAGGGGGTGATCAAATTATTAGAGCTATCTAGTAAAATACAACTTTTTTTATAAACCGTGTGTATAATTGAGCTATTTTTGAAATATATTCTTAAGTTTGTTTCCATTTTATCATGTAACACTTTATGAAATTGCAATAAGCCTGGCAACGCAGCTGGCTGACAATACGTGACTCTGACTCAGGTGAGATTTTATCTCAGTTCTGTGAAGCTGCGCTTACAACTCCTGCGCATTTTAGTGTCAATTCTTAGTATTTAATATGTTATTATCAATAGCTTCCACTAATCTGATATTCTGACTATATTTTTGTGAATTTAGCACACACTGAGTCATGTTTTCACCAGTTGTACCAGAACTGTAGTTTTCTCACCATATGTAAAACGAAAGAAATATCATCGATTAAAAATGCGGAAATAAAAAATTTATTATTGAACACTAATCACTCCAATAAAGATATCGCATCAATTTCTAAAGTTCCAATGGAAAATGTAGGCTGCATAAAGAAAAAACTTGATTAAATGAGCTAATAATCAGAAAGATTGGACAATTGGTTATTGGAAGCAGGTAAATAACATTATTTAACACAGTTTTTCTTTTATGCTACAATTGATCAATTTTTCCAGGATTCTAATAACAATATATACAGGTTTGTTGACGAATCTACTATGCAGATCCTCATGTATAGAGCTGAATTTGTAAAGAGGAGACCTGGGGAAAAATAAAAAGGGGACTGTATTTTAAGGACGGTAAAACGCACCCTGAGTGTCATATTATAGTCCATCATAAGCAGTCAAGTAACTGGTAGAATCTAAATTATCGAAGGGACAATATGACATGATTTTAGAGTTGATGCATGAATGTCATGCTGACATTCTGTCTCCGGCTTCTATACAATATGTAGCTTCTCCTTATAAATTTTAAAGTGTTTGTTTGTCTTAGTGTATTGTATTTTGTATTGTTATGGCCAAATTTTACATTTATGACATTCTACTATGTCGGATAGGCCACAACTGACGAAATGCCCCTGAAGATGATCTATTGATCGAAAGTACTTGGGCAAGATTAAATTAATCACCGTGTTCGATAGTTGCCTTGTATACCCTCAAAGTTAAATTTACTAAGATGTAAATTGAAGCTGGAAGGTCAGATAATAGAACAAATGATGGAGTTTAACACGTTGCAAGCCATAGAGGAATTTGTAATACTTTCCGTTCACGTCAAGGCCATTTCTGCTATATGGTCGAAAAAATTACGGCTCACGTCACGGTGCGCAGAGGTACCTTTATATAGCCTGTAATGATCCATGTTTAAAATTTTTCAAAATTCCTCTTCTTGCAAAAAAAAAATTGCGAAAATATTATATGTGCCGTCCAATGTAACGGTGTCGGTCACATTGACAGAGACGGCACCACAGTAACGTTAAAATTCTTGGTCAAATAGAATACGCTGGCGTGCAGAGTAATTTTTTTGTCGGTCAAATAGACCGAGACGGCAGGCAACGTGTTAAATATTTAAGCATCACATTACCTAGCTACGGAAAGCTTCAAACAGAAGTGAAAGATCAAGTGAATAGAGCAAACAGAGCCACAGGTTGCCTGAATGAAACAGTATGGATAAATAAAAATATCGGCAATGAGATGAAAGGCGGATCAGACCAATAATAACATACGCGACAGAAACACGACGTGACAAAAAGGATGTTAGAAACAGCAGAAATGAAAACACTTAGAAGAATTCATGGCAAAAAATTATGTACAGATATACGACGTAGATACAAGGTGAAGAACATCAAGGACTGGGTAAGAAATAGAAGAGTAGAATGGAACGATCATATAAGTCGAATGACAACAAATAGAGTAGTAAAGACGGCAAGAGACGATTTCCCAATAGACAAAATACTGGAGGTACATTGAAAAACAGACAGTCATGTCTACCAAAAAGAAGAAGAAGAAGGGACTGTGTTTACTACTCCAGGTAGTGTGTGGTCGCGCAATATGTCGTTACAGTCGCTTTTATTTTTTTTACACCTCTGTGCGATCCTAGCTCTGTCCGTAGCCCGCAATAAAAAAGATATGCTTCTAAAAAAGTTTTTCCATGGCCATGCTGTATAGTATTTGTTAAATTATAGTGTATATATGTATATACAGTATGTCTCAGACACTATTAAAAACATATTTGTTATATAACGATCGATATGTTTAAATAATTACCTTTTTTTAGCAGTGTTTATTTATTTCTGATGTATGTACTAATAGAACATATTCGTTGCAATTTGTGTTGCTTCAAAGAATTCGTTCTATGGGTTTGAAGATGTTCGGAAAGGAATTCCGAGACAATTAAGAACTACATTATTATCGAGACGATTCCGGTACGAGATTTAACTTACTGAACGTAAATATTCAAGGGGTAATTTCAAATTAAGTTGGAATGAGAATTTGTATTAAAAAATCTCATCTTTATTGGATTCGCGCAAGAAGTTAATTGTCAATCTTTCAAATTTAATAAAAATGAAGTCGACTTTATTTACTAACAATGCATTTATTCAACACACATATGCACACTTCACAATACAAATGTATCTTGAATATGTAACCGGATTAACTTGGCAGAATTAATAAAGGAAGGTTGATTATTGAATCGATACACGAACTAATAGTGAACATATGGAATAATAAACAACTGCCACAAAACTGGAATACCGGAGTAATTATCCCACTACCTAAAAAGGGAGATCAGCTTCAATACAAAAACTACCGGGCAATAACGCTACTGACTGTGGCATATAAAATACTGTCAAATTTTGTATATGACCGATTGAGACCATATGCGGAACAAATAGTTGGGGGATATCAATGTGGTTTTCGCAGGCAGAAGTCCACAATAGATCAGATCTTCGTCTAGAGGCAAGTCTTGGAAAAGACTAGTGAATTTAATATAGACACACATCATCTTTTCATTGACTTTGAGAGTGCCAATGATAGCATCCATCGAGCGTTTCTGATCCATACACTGAAAGAGTTTAATATTCTAACTCAACTCATTGATATAGTAAAAGAAACACTTAAAGCACAAAGCAAAATTCGAATTCAAAACGAACTAACAGATACAATCCATGTGAGAACGGGCCTACGACAGGGAGATGCCCTATCCTGTATTCTATTCAACATCACATTAGAGAAAATAATTAGGGAGTCAAAAGTCAACACCAGAGGAACAATAATAACAAAAGTGTACAAATATTGGCATTTGCAGATTATGTTGATATCATAGCTAGAAGCGAAAGAGAGATGATAGAAGCATTTAATGCGATAGAAAGAGCGGCAAAAAACAGTGGCCTAAACATTAACGAAATAAAAATCAAATACATGAAGGCCAGTAAATCGACAGGCCAAAGAAACCTACAGAATCTGACAATACGAGACTATAACATCGAAAGAGTGAAAAGTTTTACATATCTAGGTTCACTAGTTACCGCATATAAGAATATCAGTGAAGAAGTTAAGAGAAGAATACATATCGCTAATAAAACATATAATGGACTAATTAAACATCTAAGATCTAACAACATCACAAGAAAAACCAAATGCAAAATATACAAGACCCTGATAAAACCGGTCCTTGTATATGGATCAGAGACGTGGACACTGTCGAAAAGCGATGAGAACCTATTAGGTACATTTGAACGAATAATCCTTAGACACATATATAAGGGGGTAAAGGAAAATGTCATATGGCGCAGAAGGTATAACTTTGAACTATACACAGCATACAATGAACCCGAGATCGTAACATCCATAAAGATCGGACGTCTGCGCTGGATGGGCCATGTTGAACGGATGTTGGAGAATGAAACGCCAAAACATATAATGAGGCAAACACCAGTAGGGAGAAGGTCAAAGGGAAGACCCAAACTTAGATACACGGAACAAGTGTAACAAGATCTGAAAACACTTAAGATTACCAACTGGAAAAACAAAGCAAAGAACAGAACAGAGCTACTGATGATGATGATGATAACTTGGCTTAACGGTCCACGTCGTAAAAAAGCTCTCCATTTATTATTGCTATTTGATTAGATGAAATTTCTATTAACTCTGGAACTTCCTGTGAGATCGGAATTGGACTAAACATTCTTTTTTTTTTCTGATATCTTCATTAGTTTTTACTTTAACAACTTTAAAATCAGTAATGAGGAAAAAAAAAGGTTTACAGTTTAGAACTTTATGGACACAATGAAGAAGGTATTCACCAATACAGTTGTCATTAGACTTGAGCAGTAGAATAGACTCTCCTCCTTTATTACTGTAGTAGCAAGCCCTTTTCTTAAGAACAACATTGAATAGTCATTTCTCTTAAATAGAGTTTTGTTTTTCGAATGAATAGGAACCAAAATGAATGTTACTCTCATTTTCAGTAACGTCATTCTTATTAGATTGGTTCGATACTATTGGTCTTAGAAAATTTCATGAACTGACTCACTTATCTGATGACGTCTATCTACGACCGAAACTATGAAATCCGACATTACTGAAAACATTGAATTGTCTACAGCGTTCTTATAGCAAAACACAAACTAGTTTTCGCACTCGTAAAATAGTTGGAGTATTTATTGTTTTTCTTCTAACAGTCGTTTTTAATCATGTATATTAAATTTAGTATGAAATTAAGCTAAGAAAAGACAAAGAAATTATTAACACCATAAAAAACAGAAAATTGGCTTACTTCGGCCACATCATGCGTAATGATAAATACCGACTTATAAAGTTGACTCTACAGCGCAAGATTGAGGGTAAGAGAGGCCCTGGACAGAAGAAGATGAAATTAAAATTGTTAATGTTTTTAGGATTCAGTTTTTATTTCGGGAATGCGTCTTTTGAAGGTTCATGAAGTTTTGAAACATTCCTACCCCTTGTAGCAACGACAGTTATAGTTCTGTTTCAAAGAATTTCAAAGTTAAATTTGTTTCTAGACGGTATCTGTAACTTCTGACGATTTATCGTTTTCTTCAGCATCTAAATAAAAATTATTTGCTGCTGGTAAATCTGGTGGCAAAATTGCTTCAGAGAATAGTTCTGGAGGATATTTTAATATTTCTTGTCTGGGCAATGTTTGCCTATCAATTAATCTCCTGTATGTACTACGTTAAATTTTTTATTGTGGTATTTGTAACTTCTGATCATTATTTGGAAAGATTTCTTTTTTCAGCAAAACTTGGTTTTTTGTGCTGATATTCACTTTGTCTTCTAGGTTGAACATCACGCGTGGTGAAAGTATAGTTATCAAACAATTATTTTTGGAAGCATATATTTTCGAAAAGTGGTGGTTCTTTGTGTCATAACGTGGTGTGACTTTTACAAGTTGCAAATTCACAAAAATATGCTTCGTTCTCATCTTTCGGTAGTGTAGTACTAGTATTTGGATGTTGTAATGATTTGTTTAATCTAGTATTACGTGTTTTGACTTATTTCTCCTTGTATCTTTAAATTTTTTTTGGGACAATTTTTTCATGTTCCTGACTGTTGTATTATGGTCACTATGGTCTGTTTTTTAATCAGGAGGAGTAATTCAAATTTTCCGCGCCGTAATGCTTGTTTGCAATTGGTCCAACCGCAGGCAAGTTTACTCCACTAAATTATGACATATTGACACTAATGACATTTGTGAAATTTATTTATTATTATTATTTTCCTCTAATATATAAATCGATTTCTGACTCTTTGTTTGTAATAACTTGGACTTGGTGATATGCGAATAGTATTTAATGTGATATTTTTCTAGATGATATTTATACTAAATATAGTTTAAAATGTTTATAAATGTATGTTATTTATATCTAATAATCATAAGAAAAACGGCAACTATCTTTTAAATTTAGTGTATACTTGTTAAGAAGCATTTCCATTTTGTTTTCATCACAATAAAAGAACAGTAGTAAAGTAATGTTCAATACAAAGTATCTGGTAAGAAAAAAAACTAGATTCAAGAAATTGATCATACCAGAATAAGAATTTGGTCTACTATTAAAACACAAATTTCTGAGAAAAAAACATACTTAGATCTGTAACATTATTGACTCTCCCGATCAAAATATTCTCTAAATTATAATTAAATACCATAGACTTAAGAGATCTATAAAACTGGATCACCCGATATTTAAATATATATACATGGGACCAAATGTGAAAAACGTCCTTTTTTTATTGTAATAATTGTAATATATATTGGAAGTGAATTGAAAAAAAATATGTTATTATTCAAACATAAATAAACAAAGTTAGGTTAAAATCGACGTGTGAGGTTGTCCAATATTGATTACTCGATTACCGCAAGGCCGAGATAATCAACAAAAAAAAAAGATGTATTTGGTGACTTTTCTAGTAACTTTCTTGAGTGTGAATCTGTCTTTTTGGTTTACTCCTCCTGGTTAAAAAACAGAGTATAGTTACATCAGATCTTTATGAATTTGTCCCATTAGTACTAACATCAGAAATAAATAAGCACTGCTAAAGAAAGGATAGAAAATAAATAAACATTGCGAGTTAACTGTGCAAGGATATTATTTAAACATATCCTTAATCAATGAATTTAAAAAATACTAGACTTTATAAGTTGGCGATATATCTGGTTTCTTCGGTGTGTAACCGTACAAAAAGATTGAGAATATAACAAATCCAGCGCCCGCGGCAAACTGGAAGGATAGTTGGAAATCAAATATGTATATACTAGCTATACAGGATATAACTATAGCCAAGGACGTTGCAAAACCTTTCAGGATGTTATCGGCGTATTTGACGACGACAGCTACGATAAGTCCGCCTGAAGCTTGTTGTAGAACTAGGAAAAGTATGAATTTATCGTAGCCAAAGAAGAATCCTTGTTCTCTGATTTTCGCGCCGTCATATAAGAAGCACGAGATCAAGCCGAACGGTATTGAGCAAAAAGAGAGTTGGACGTTTCTTATCCAGACGGTTACGTCACTACCTGCAACAGAAATTATTGTTAGTAAAAGTGGAATATTTAACTTAAATATAAACGCGGAATACATATCGCATCATACGTACATCATTATGTTTTTATAGTTTTTTGTATCTTGACATAATTTAGATTTTAGCTCTTTTGTCTTTGTTCGTTATTTTGAAAAATAACGATTTTTCTGACAAATTGCACGTAGCTGGTAGTTAATAATAATTATAACTCAATATTCAATAATCAGATAATAGAACAAGTGATAGGAGTTTAAATATTTAGGCATCACATTATCTAGCTACGGAAACCTCGAAACAGAAGTAGAAGATCAAGAGAATAGAGCAAACAGAGCTGCAAGTTGCCTGAATGACACAATATGGAAAAATAAAAATTTCAGGAATGAAATGAAAGGCAGAATTTACAAAACAGTCATCAGACCAATTATTATATACGAGCCAGAAACACGACGTGACACAGAGAGCACAAAAAGGATGTTAGAAACAGCAGAGATGAAAATATTTAGAAAAATCGATGGTAAAACAGTATGTACAGATATATGACATAAATGCTAGGTGGAGAACATCAAAGATTGGGTAAGAAATAGATGAGTACAATGGAACGATCATACAAGGCGAATGACAACAAATAAAGTAGTAAAGACGGCAAGATGCGGTTCCCCAATAGGAACACGGAAGACGATCAGTAGGAAGACCACGAAAACGATGGAATGACAACTTTTCTAACAGTTCGGTTTGTAAGTTTTTTATTCATGGAAATTTATTGTTAAACAGTTTTTGTATCGCAGTCAATAGAGTCGCGTAAACATCGTGTTTTTTTATATACCTACTGTATGTGAAGAAATAATGTAAACCCATGTGCAAGACATTAGATTTAATGTGTGGATACTTTTGCGGTCGAGTTTATATATAATCCCGTGAAAGTGGCCAAAATTCCAAACCACGTCATTTTTATTGCATATAATACTCTATTATAACTTTATTAACAAGGGTAATATCAAATCATAATTTGACCTTAACAATTCTTACATAAATCTAAATTTATTAGGCATTTTTTTATTAGAGATACTAACCTTTGAGCATTTTTTCGAAATAAACTCCAGCAAAGCCGGACAAGCAGCACGCAGCCAGCGCAGCCATGAAACCGATGAACTGATTTTGCTCCATTCCATGTACGGACGTAGATTTATCATCGGTATGGGCTAATTGCACAAGCACAATACCACTGATGAGGGCGAAAAGTGAGATCCATTGAGTACGTAGAAGTTCCCTCTTCAAGATAAATACGGAAAACAGGGCAGTAGTAAGGATTTTTAACTGATACGTCACCTGTAATTATTAATAAATATGTCATTAGTGGTATTAGATAAATTGGACATAATTTCTATTTCTAGGTTGTTCTATTTCTATTTCTGGTTGTTCTTGTAATTAAATAAGCAATTAAAAATATTTATTTCCTGTACCGTTGAAACAGGATATTGGATAGAAAATTGGATAAGAAATTGGATAAAAAGTGCCCAAAACAGAGCACAATGGACAAACATGAGGGAGGCCTATGTCCAGCAGTGGACGCAAAGGGCTGGGTGATGATGATGATGATGAAACAGGATATATCGTATGTGCTAAAATTAATTTTGACCATTTTTTGTTTACATCTCACCTTAGAGAGACCCTTCGATTTTTATATTATCATCGAACGAAATGTTCTAATCTGAATGCAAAACAACATTCTATACTTTACTAACGACCTGCAAATAAAACGCTTATCTTGCTAAAACGGCATCCGGTCGATTGTAAACGAGAAGGGACCAAAATGCCACCTTTAAAGCGTTCTAAGGTAATGTTTTGTTATTAGTTACTAGCCCAGGACAAAGAAGGATGGAGGGAAATAGTAAAAAAAAAAACTGTGAAGGCCTGATGGTATCACCACATTCCAAAAGGGGTTAGGACAGGAGGAGGAAACTTTATAAACACTTCGCCTTTATAAAGATCGTCTTTAAGTAAGAAGACTATTAAATCTGGTGATCTTCTTTGGGTGCCGTCTTCAATGAAGGTTGGCGATAACCTCAGCAAAATCATTTCTGTCCCTGGCTTTTCTTATTAAAGATTGAGAATCCAAACCAGTCCACTCACGAATGTTCTTCAACCAGGACGCCTGCCGTCTACCAGGACCACGTTTTCCTTCTACCTTCCCCTCTATAAGAAGCTGCAGTAGCTGGTATTTCTCATTTCTGTATATGTGTCCCAAATCTGAGGTTTTCCGTGTGTTCATTATTTTTAAGAGTTCTCTGTCGGTACCCATCTTGTGTAGGACCTGCTCGTTGCTCATATGCGCTGTCCAGGGGACTTTCAGCATCCTTCGAAATAACCACATTTCAAAACTTTCCAAACGCCTGAGTGAGTTGATTTTGAAGGTCCAGGCCTCCATTCCATATAGTAAGGTGCTGTAAACGTAACATTTCAGCATTCGGTATCGGATTTTGAGATTGAGTGTTTGGGACGTAAACATTTGTTTCATTTTTAAAAAGACATTTCTTGCTTGTTCAATTCGCGATTTTATTTCTATGTCTGGATCTATATCTTTCGTTATCCAGCACCCTAGATATCGAAATTTCTCGACATTTTCGATAATGTTACCATTCACGTTTAAAGCCATGGGTGGGTGGATGGATGTTTTGGAGACAATCATTGTTTTTGTTTTCTTGACGTTAATGCTGAGGCCGTATTGTTCTCCGATCGATCTGACGCGATCTAAGAGTGTCTGGAGATCCTGTGCGCTTTCTGCAATTAGGACCATGTCGTCGGCGTATCGTACATTATTTAGAACTCTGCCGTTAATTTTAACACCTTCTCTTGATTGCTCTAGTGCTCGTGCAAAGATTTCTTCCGAATATATATTGAAAAGTAGTGGTGACAATACACACCCCTGTCGTACACCTCGCTTGATATTGAATATTTCTGTGTCACCGGCTTCTGTTCTAACTGCTGCAGTTTAAAATCGTTCTCGTCTAGTCCCTTTTTGTGAAGGCAATCCATCAGCTTATCATGTTTTACTTTGTCGAAGGCCTTTTGATAGTCAATAAAACATAAAAAGAGATCCTTTTTTTGGTCTCGACATTTTTGCAGCAGTATAATAAAACTGGTTAATGCTTCCCGTGTCCCGAATCCATTTCAGAAGCCAAATTGTTCATCACTGATATCCTGTTCACATTTCTTATAAATGCGTGGTGATGCAAAATAGTAATTCACTTGTGAAAACTTATCCCTTGATTAATTGATGTTACAGTAGACTCCCGTAAGTTCGGCCATCTCGGCCACCACTATAAAATGCCCATTTATTGTTTGTAAGCAAACAATAAATGGGTCTAGCAAAAACAAAACACTTGTACATTAAGTAGAAAACAACAGAGAAAAATACTCTGACATATATTTAACACATGAAGAGAGACCGTTACAAAATTACTATAAAACAATACTTACAGAGCTCTAGGCCTAATAAAATTTAAAAACATTATTGCACATTGGTGGTTTGGCCTTAAACACTTAAAAAAAGTCAGTAATTTTTTGCTGAATTTTCTTTTCTAACGATATGTGATATGCAAAGTCATATCGGTTTTTAATAATCATTACCTCGATGGCAGTTGCTTCTTTTTGCTGTTCTAGGTAGGTAGCTGCCAGTTGCAAAAGCTACTTTATCTTCAGCGTGGCTTGTTTTATTTTCTTCATCTTCCTCTTCATTCTCAGCAGCATCTGTGTCGTTATCATTCTCATTCTCTTGGCGAATGACACACTCAGCGATTTCATCGTCGTTCAAAACCTCGTTGTGTAGCTTCTTTTCAAAGTTTTTCCACTCCAGTTCGGTAGTTACTAAAGGTCGTGCAATAGAACTGCATTGTCATCAGGTTAATTAACAAGAATGTTGTTTGGCTCATCTGCTGATGTGTTTGCTTGGTCAATCTTATCTTCTATATTTGGCCAAAGTTTTTTCCAAGACTTTATAAACGTCGACAGTGGTAATTCGTCACATGCCTTGGCCGACATGTACAAAATATCTTTCATATTAACTGACTTCAACACTCTTAAGAGGTCTAAGTTGTCACCAGCCTCCAATTTGGAAAGAACTTCAGAAAGCAGTTTTCGGCGATACTTTCTCTTGAAGCACTCAATGACACCTTGGTTCATTGGCTTTTGAAGACTGGTTACATTGGATGACAGGAAGAGCAGTTTAATTTCTTTTTCATCGTCACAATGAAGACCTTCGTGGTGAGTAAGCGCCTTGCCTTATCAAACAGTAGAAGTGCTTTGATGGGCAGATTTAATTTTGTCACATGGTTTTTCACTTTCGGAGCAAATTCGCACACAAAACATTCCCTGAACAAATATGTGTCCATCCAACCTGATTTCTGGGACCGGTAATACACTGGTAGAGTTTCCATGTTTATGTTCTTAAACGCCCTCTGTTTTGCTGCTGTGCCAATAACAAATGGGGGTATCTTGTGGGTCCCCGAGGCATTTGAACACAAGGCGACCGTTATCCTCTCTTTGCTGACTTTAAATCCTGCCTCAGATGATTCTTGTGGGGTGGAAAAGGTTTTTCTGGACAGAAGTCCAAAATTTAATCCAGTTTTGTCGATGTTGTAGTTTTGCTCTGGACTCAAGTTTTGGTCACCAATGATTTTTTTAAATTGTGCAGAAAAATTTTTGGCCGCTGTTGGGTCTGCAGACAGCTCGCCACCAATTCCAATAAAATGGACCCCCTGTCTCCTTTTTCATCAGGATAGCCATCCCTGACTAGCCGAGAACGCCTTTTCTGGTTGAAGCTTTGAGTGCAAGATCATAGCATTCTCTTTTAGGATTGGTCCACTTAAAGGGGTTCCTCGTCTTCCTTCTTCGTAACGAACCACAACCACAGAGCATCGTCCACCAATTCGTGTTTTGTTTTTCTCAGTGTGCAACGCTTTTATAGAACTGTTTTAGTTTTAATCTGTGTACAAAATCCTTCGATAGATTTTCTATTGCGCCGCCAGTCGTTGATTGTACTTCTGCCCACGTTTAAATCTCTGCAAATACTTTGCACGGATTCTCCTTTGTCTAATCTTTCCAGAGCTTGCAGTCTCTGTTCCATTGACTTGTACTTGCGCATTTCACTCATTTTAAAGCAGTTTAATGCACGACGCGAAACAGTTATTATCCTCCCTCCTCAATCCTTTAGCCCTTGTCAGGGCGTAGTGACACCCTAAATATTGTTAGTCTGCTGTCTCCATTGACTGCGATCTTGTGCCATATGGACGGCTTCATGTAGGGATTTTCCCACCAAACTCTTCATTTGGTCTACCCATCGTATTGGAGATCTTCCTATTGGTCTTCGGCCTTCTACCTTTCCTTCTACTACCAATAGTTCCATGGTGCCCGTTCTTCTAGCTATGTGGCCGAAGTAAGTTAGGTATGCTTGGTTTACTTTTTTTAGTAGCCTGTCTTTTATATGAAGCTCTTCCAGAATTGACAGGTTGGTTCTATGTTCTGTCCAGGACACGCGTAGAATTCTTCTATATACCCACATTTCGAAGGCTTCGATCTTACTCCTATCGATTTTTTTGAGAGTCCATGTTTCAGCTGCATATGTAGCAATGGGAAAATTAAGGGCATTGACCAACCTGAGCTTAGTATTCCTTGTTATTGTTCGGTCTTTCCATATTTTAATTAATTTAGCAGTTGCGGTTCGGGCCATTCCTAGTCTACGTTTGATTTCTGAGGAACAATCACCATTGTTGGTTATCAGAGAGCCCAAGTATACAAATCTGTCGTCTACTTCGAAAATCCCTATTTGGCGTATATGCGGTAGATTATTATTTACTCTGTCTACAATCATTATTTTTGTTTTTTCCGGTGTTGATTTGAAGTCCGAATTATTCACTTATTCGGCTTAGCCGTTCGATGATGGTAATCATTTCGACTTAATTCGCTGCTAGTATAAGTGTGTCATCTGCGTCTCGCAGGTTACTGATTTTTCTGCCTCCTATAGTGATTCCTCCATCCCATTCATCTAGTACTTTTCTCATTATATATTCAGAATATATGTTGTACAATAATGGTGATAGTATGCAACCTTGTCTAGTTCCTTTCTCTGTTTTGAATGCATTTGAATATATTCCATGTACTTTAACTTTGGCTGAGTTTTTATTATACAGATTTCTTATTAGGTTAACTAGGTGGTTAGGTACTCCCATATTTTCCATTATAAAAGAGAGGATCCCATTTTACTGAATCAAAAGCCTTTGTGTAATCTACAAAACAGAGCAACATTGGTATGTTATGTTCTCTCGCTTTTTCTACTATCTGTCTGGTGTTGAGTATTTGCTCACGCGTTCCCTTTCCTGGTACAAATCCACATTCTTCTTCGGCTATCTCTGGAAGTAGAAAGTTCTTTAGCCGTTCATTGATTATATGTAGCAGGATTTTGCTTGCATGAGGGATAAGGGCAACGGTTCTGTAATTGCTGCATATGGTTAGTGATCCTTTTTTATGGATAGGGATCAAGGTTGATTCACACCACTCATCAGGCCATTCACCTGTGATCCATATCATGTTGCACATATCCAGCATTACATCTACGCCAATTTCGCCTATTGCTTTTAGAGTCTCCGCTGTTATGCCATCGATTCCTGGAGTTTTTTTGTTTCTTAGTTGGTTAAGAGCCTTCTCTACTTCTGCTCGTAAAATGATTGGTTCAGCCTCTCTGATTGCATGTTTTTTGTGTTCTGAGACTGATGCGTCATCTTTTGAAGTGTCTTTGTATAATTCTGAGCAGTAATTTTTCCAGGTCTCTGCGATGCTCTCTATGTCGGTTTTTTACTTCTCCATTAGAGTCTTGAATGGATTGAAGTTGTGGCTTGAACTCTTGGGCTAAATATTTAACTTTTTTAAATAGTTCATGAGTTTCAATACGGTTTGCATGTTATTATCCACATACACAAAAATACTGTTTATATAAACAGTAAAAATCTCAAGTGAAACAAGAATCACTGACTGTAGTTCTACCGTAAAGATGAGCGCTTTACTTGCCCGCCAAGTGTGTGACTAATGCTCAGAGAGCCGGCAGGACTAAGCGGAGACCGAACTAACCGAAGCCGAACTTACGGGAGTCTACTGTACTTAGAAGCCGTCTTGTTTTTAAAAAATATATCAAAAATAAAAAACAAAGTATGTGATTAAGTTCTATGAACTTACTACAGACGAAGGTTTCATTTTTAAGTTAGAAATGTATCAGGTCGTGGAATTCCTTTGTTCTATATGTTGTCAAACAATAAATTTCTTTATTTTTTTTAATAAATCACAAAATTGTCTTATCTAGATATTGTGATACCTAAAACTATATAGAAAAATGTTTGTGATGTGGCAACAATGTCTATATCCGTTTGGTTTTTCTTTTGAATTATCAATCTTATTTTATCTCCTTGAACTACCACAAATAATTTTTAGTTATCGCGTGTAAAAATATAAAAAAAAATTGTGTGCTGCAAATTTGTGTATCAAGCAACATCTTTAATTCAAGAGTGTCAAGCAACGTGTTAAATGTTTCCAGTCTCGAAAATAAGAAGAAAAAATGAAAATATGTATATATAATATAAGCAAAATACAAATAAATACATAAAAAGGAAGATTTTAATAAATCCCTCTATATATTGTTTATTATTACTAGGTGAATTTATTTTATAAAAATTTTTAATACCAACCTGATATGTTGCTGCATCTAAATGAGATGCGGATAAGTACAGCAAATTATTTTGAACCAGATAAACGAATGAAGGAACGCATATCTTGAGCGTATCAACAGGTTGTTTAATAATTTGTTGATCTATTAAACGAAACGTTTTTAATAGTCCACCAGCGTCTATGTAGACAATCACCAAACATGTGATCAGTTTAACAACTTCTGCCAACAGTACAGCTAAAATTTAGAGATTACTAATTAGTTTCAAGGGTTAAGGACACTGTGAAAAATTAAAATAAAGCGTTTTTACGATTTTTTTAATGCAAAAAATAAGAGGATAATTAATATTCAAGGATGTAATGATTCAAGTTTTAAGTGTTCAAAAATATTATTTATTCACTAATAAGGTGATTTTATATCTACTTTAAATCTGGAAATTTCCAATTCAATTGAAACCTTTGATTAAATGGTAGGACACTTATACCAATATTAAATATTTTATAAAATTATTTTTATGACTATTGATGTTTTTGTTGGTTTAAAAAATTCTCAACCAGAAAGTTTCCGATAACGTTTTTGTCAACTTTTGAACGGCATAAATTTAAAATAAAATTACCTAGGAAAAATATAAAAAAATTCAATCAACTGATGATTATCAGGAGTTTGATAGGCTGCGAATTTTATATAAAAATTATAGAGTCTTATAATAACACATGTTGATCCTTTGCCAATAATCAGTGAAAACTAGTAGCTGCCCTTCTGGGCTTACCTACCAAGGTAGAGTGAGTTGATCTGGACAACAATTGCAGCCGATTACTTCAGCCTATTGTAGTTTTGACCCAACACCAAATATTTCCAGATTTCTGGAAAGAAACTCCACTGCTTGAGCCTCTACTATGTTAAATTGACTAATAGACTGTCTGATGCATTGGAGAAGAGACAGCATGTTGTTAATATTTACATATACTTTTCGAAATGTGTCTCGCGACCCTAATTCATAAATTCTGGTTGATTGGAATCAGGCGAAACGGATTGAAGACAGATATTAAAATATATAATTTATCCCAAATGATTGCTCCTTCCGGTGTACGTCAGTGGTCTCATATTGTGCGATGTCTCTTCAATATCTTTATTAACGAATTACATGAGTGTTTCACTGACAGCGTCACATGTTATATCCCAGTCACTTCTAATGAGAAAAAAACAACGAAAGAGTACCCCCCGTAACGATGGCAAAATTACTTCACTCCTAGAATTCAATTTTTTTTCATTTTTTTTACGTTCTATGTGAATAAAATAAGACTCAGCGCAATTGTATTTTTTTATCAAAATGTCATTTACACACTCAAAAGCTTTGGCATAGGTACAAAAAACAGTGGCAGTGTAAACCTCATGTAGCACAGAAAACATAGCATCAGTGGTACATGTAACAGATAAAAAGCCGAACTGATTTTGTGATAAAATGTTTTTTTTTTTGACGAGAAAGGACGTAAGTCGGGCTTTTATAAGTCTCTCAATAATTTTGGATAGTACCGGTAGTAAGACAATAAGTTTATAGTTGCAAGAAAAAAAAACTTAATGAAATGAAAACAAAAATTAAGAACCTAGTCGTGTACCTAACTAATTAGGCCTACTACATAAAATTCTTATCTCTAGGGTATTGAAAATCTCGTCGGCGGTCTCGAGCTGCCTGTTGTCTGGTAGTTGGTCGTTATCTTCCTCGTCTTATACGCTCAGGTTGTCTGGATGAAGAACCATATCAATGATGTCCTGGTCGATGAACTCAGCTTCTGAGTCATCAGCTGCTAACCACTCACGTATCTCTTGTTGGTTAATTTTGTCACATCCCGGCAAATGGTTTATGAAAGCTTTAATTTCTTTTGTCGTTTCTTAACCATTTTCTTCTTCAGGATCGTTAATCAAAATCCCATCAGAAAGTTTGTTCCAGCATTTTTCCAAAGTTGAAGATTTGATCTTGGCCCACGACTCAGCACACCAATAAATAACATTGTTAAAGATTTAAGAATTTCGCGAACACTTTTGAATTCATTCGACTCCTGTAATAACGGACGTCTTAAGAATGCTCTTATATAATGTCTCTTGAATATCTCTAGCACTTCCTGGTCTAACGGCTAAATTAAGCTCGTGACATTCGGTGGCAAAAATCTGACAATTGTCACCATTTTGTAGATCTTGAGGGTGAGTTGGCGCATTGTCAACAAGCAACAATGCTTTAATGGAAAGGTTTTTTGATTTTAAAAAGGATTTTACACTTGGGACGAATTCATTTTCGACATCCATGAGCTTTTTTGCCTTCTATAAAAAACGGGAAGTGCTTTTCCGGAAATATCTTTTAGAGCTCTTGGTTGTTTGATTTCCCAACACACATAGTCATCAATCGGTGAATGAAATTAATTGAATTGTTTACGGCAATAAAAAGTAAATTTTTATCGCAAAAAATTTACTTTTTATTTTTTCTTTATTTTTTATTGTTGAGAAACCTACTATGGCTTAGTTAATACTAAGAAACAGTCTTTTTTCAATTAAAAGAACCCGCAAGTCTGCAGTGAAAGCAAGTATGTATAGTGAAAAAAAGAAATTTGTATTTTGTAACACAGTAAATTTGTTTAATCCTAACAAAGTAACTGGTTTCAAACCGCACAAATAGATGTTACTTTGCTGAGATTCTTGGCAACCTTCAATGAAAATTGTAGCATAACAAGAAGAAGGTCATGGATATTATAACACACGATTCTATTTTTTTACATTTTCAAGACACCCTGTATTTAAATGAAGTTGGTTATTATTACACCTATAATTTTCCTTATCAGTCGACGATTACGTAATAATGGATAAGTATAATTTATTACGGACAACAGTGCATATTTCATTCCAACAATTTTATTTTATGTGGGTAGTAAAATTAATCTTATCGGTCGTCGAATTGTAAAATTAATATTAGGTGTTTACGAAATCGTATTTGCTGTAAGGCGGGAAATTAAATAACGCTTTAATAAATTTTAATTATAAAACAATATTAATTCACAAATTTGTTATTAAAATATATGTATGTGTATTAAGTTAATTATTGTATGAACTTTTTCAAATATATATTTACTGAATGACGACAAATTGTAAAATAAACCCATACTTATCATATTGACTTCCGACATGGATGTCGAAATCTATGTTGTTGGAAGTCTATTTCATTAGAGTTTAACATTGAAGTTTATTTCGTTTATAACGTTTATTTCATTAAAGTTTTAACACGGTGAGTGCCACCATATACACAAATAAAATGTCTCACAGGCCGATATATTTTTGTGCCATCAATGGTGAGACCAGGGCCCTGATTCTATTTCATTTTGATGTCGAAATTTAAAAGCGACTACGCCATCGTCGCAATCGCTAGCGATTCTCATTCATTTCGATTTTAACTAAAAGTGGGGATATTTACTTTATCATTTTGACACTGCTCAGAATTTGGGTTGGCCGTCTTGTTTATTGGCTGCACCACAGAATACACCATCCTAACTGGAGTATTCTGTGGCTGCACGCTGCACAACGCTTGTTAAATGTTTGTTTGGTTTACGTTACGCCTTTTGTTTCTTGTTTGAGTTGATACATTTTTAGTGGTCATTCTCAATTATTATATTTTGAATTGAAAGAAAATGGATGGAGAGGCTGTCGGTGATGGTGGCACTAAATTATCTGTGGACCAAAAAGAAATTATGGTGGCTTTTGACTTAGTGGTTATATTCTAATATATTTTTAATTTTACTGCAGCTTAGTAATACTTATCCTAAACATTTTGGGTCTCCTAGAGGCATAAACACCCTCCTCCAAATATGGTTCTAATATCCTTATCAAATAATTTGCAGCTTGTTTATTAAGGCGGAATTGCTGCCTAAATTGAGCATCACTTAGTGAAAAAGGATTTTGAGTATCCCGTAACATTCTTCTTATCCTCCGTTGTGAGCGTCGGATATCTATCCTCTCTAATTCCTTCAAAATCAGCAAATGTCCTTAAAACGCAGCCATAATAATACTTTTTGCCTCAGTTTTCCTTGCAAGAATCAAACAAAATACAACATCGTCTAAACTAAACCTAATCCCACTTCTCCCAGTCCAGCTAGTCATGGCACATTAATTAATTTCGACTCGAAATGAAATTTCAACCACTTTCTTGAAGTTGAAATTAATTTCGATAAATCGAAAATTAGTCCTTTCGTTAGTTCCGCTGAAATCCACTAGGCTCGCAAAGTTGCATTTCGACGTCGCCATATTAATGTCGCAATTCGACATGTTTTAAGTCGAAATCTCAATTAGAATCAGGGCCCAGAGTGGCTTCATGCGTCGTTTCTTCTTCAAGTGCCATCTTCGCGGCGGAGGTCGGCAATCATCATAGCTATTCGGATTTTTGAGACGGTTGCTCTGGAAAGTTCATTTGATGTACATCCGTACCACTTTCTCAGGTTACGCAGACATGACATTCTACTCCTCCCTATGCTTCTCTTTCCGTGAATCTTCCCTTGCATAATCTCTTGGAGCAAGGTGTATTTCTCTCCATGTGTAGTATGTCCGAGATAATCCAATTTCCTTGTTTTAATTGTATTTAAAATTTCTATTTCTTTATTCATCCTTCTTAGAACCTCTTTGTTTGTAACGTATTTTGTCTACGATATTTTCAGAATTCTGCTATACACCCACAGCTCGCATGATTTCAGTTTTTTCATTAATGTCGAATTCAAGGTCCAAGATTCCATTCCATAAAACAAGGTCGAAAAAACACAGCACCTCGCCAACCTAACTCTTAGTTCCAATTTTAAATCTCTTGTACATAGCACTCTTCTCATTTTGTTGAAATTTGCTCTAGTCTTTTATATTCTGGTTTTGATCTCCTGAATGTAATCATTTGTGGAGTTAATCATTGTTCCCAGATATGCATATTTGTCCACTTGTTTGACGATGGTTCCGTTTATTAGAAGATTCTCGTTATTTCTTTGAGTTTTTCATTATACTCTTTTCCATACTCCGCTATTCTGGTCACCAGTTTCTGAAGATCTTCAATACTTTCGGCTAAGATCACAATGTCGTCCGCATATCTAATGTTGTTAATGGGAACTCCATTTACCTTTATTCCAGCTATTTCGCCCTCAACAGCTTTTTTCAGGATATCTTCGGAGTAGGCATTAAAAAGAATTGGCGACAATACTAATTTCAATTTCTTCTGATAGCTGTTCGTTAACACGTACTTTTGATCGCTGTTTATAGTATAAATTTGATATGATTGAGGTCGTTGTAGTCAATCTTCTTTGATTTCAGAACATTCATTAATTGTTTATGTCTTACTTTATCAAATGCTTTATTATAGTCAAGAAAACATGCGTATATATATCTTGATTGACGTCCAGGCATCTTTGTATCAGCATATTAAGTGAAAAAGAGCTTCACGCGTTCCTAGGCCTTTGCGAAACCCCAAATTGTGTATCATTAACATCTATATCCAGTTTGTGATATATTCGGTTATGGATGACTTTTAGTAGTAACTTTAGCACATAAGACATCAAGTTAATGGTGCTGTAATCGCTGCATTCTCTTGCGTTTTTATTTTTGGAGAGACAAATAAAAATCGATGTTAACCACTTTTTGGGTAATATGCCTGAACTATAAATTTGGTTCAAGAGTGTCACTAAAACATCAATGTGCTTCTCATCTAGAATTTTTAGGATTTATATAGGAAGCATGTCAGGTCCAGGGCTTTTCCCCATCTTCATTGTTTTTAATGCGTGTCATATTTCTTCTTTTGTAATAGATGGACCTACTTTTTCTGACGTAAGTTCTATGTGCTCCAGATCTCCTCTTTCATCATCAAACAGTTTGGTACCATTACCCTTTCTGAGATAGGGAAATAGCATTCCTCCTCTTTATTAGATTTTTTTTAACTATTACTGCCACGCCGTGTCTACGTAGTGTCTACGCACACGGCGCTACTATCCCATAAAAGCGCAAGACCATGGTGGTATCATATGGCACTTAACCTGTTAAATTAAATCTATACTTTCAATACAAGTGGTTGCTACATAGACCAGAGATATGCATGATGCAACTAGTTTGAAACTCCCTTTTGTTTAGTGACTTTAACGAAATGAGGTCAGCAGTAATTAATGCAGGCGAAAAACATGTTGGTAGATAAATAAAACAAGTGCAAAATAGGATGGAATGATAGTATCAGATACTAAGTTATATTACTTATAGAAGAAAAAAGAAATTACAAAAAAAATAAAAGAAATTACGGATAATACTACTACTAGTCACAAGAAATTCAAATAGAGAATTGCAGTTATCAGAAAAAGGTAAACAAAAAAATTAAGAGAATTATATACAAGACTTATTCAAGTCATTGTAATTACAAAATATACAATTAAAAACTCTAAAATTGGTAGAGCACCAGACCCTATATAAAAAATGTGAAGAGCAATTAGACAACGCACAGTCTGGATTTAGAGGGGAATGGGCACAAGAGAAGCACTGCAGACATGTCCTTTATTTCATCCGACCATCATGCTGGATCTTACACTAGATCTGTTGCCTACTGCATTATCTTTAACTATCTTTTGTTCCATGCCAATTCACATTCTTCTTAAATGCTGACTACACTAATGAAAGTTGGCTATAACCATGACAAATTCGTCTCTATCTTCTGCTTTTCTTAAAACCATCTGTGCATTTGTAGCCTACCAGGACGCCTCTGATTTTACCCTTCATAAACAGCTGCAATAACTCATACTTCTCATTTCTAAGTATGTGTCCCAAATATGCTGTCTTTCTCCTTTTAATGGTGGTCAAAAGTTTTCTGTCTCTTCTCATTCTGTGCAACACCATTTTGTTCACAATATGATTGATCCATAGTATTTTCAAAATTCTTCTAAAAAGCCACATCTCAAAAGCTTCCAGCTTTCTCATCAAGTCAACATTAACAGTCCAAGTTTGGTACCATAAAGAAGAATAGAGTGGATATAACATTTTACCATATGATATCAGATTTGCAGATTGAGACTTTATTTACTCAGAAATTTACTTGGAGGGACCCGATTGGCCCTCTCTCCAAATGGAAGATGACTGAAACCTGAATGTTTATATAACCTTTATATATAATTACAAAAAAATTAAATCACTTAGAAAATAAGAGAAAAAGTTATAGAATATCTAATATCTTATCATAAATATATAGCAAATATGTACTTAAAAATTGTTCTCTTATGAACATTGTAATATTTTTCAGTGGTTTAAGTACTTAAATGCAAGTGGTTTGTCTATGTATACATGACTAATACTATACAAATAAAATGATTAATTAACTAATTTTTAAAACAAATACTATTTTAGGTAGTATTAAACAATGAAGGTAACTTTCATGTGTCAGGACAAATTTATTTTTCTCTAGTGATCATCAATAGCCTCATTTAACAAATAAAACCTTCACATTTAGAAATTAAACAATTTTTTAAACACCTTCAATTGATGTTTCAGGAAATTCTTTCAAGGTCATATGTTAATTAAAATATAAAATCAAACTAAATTCAAAGGTCAAATATAAAATCAAACTCAATTCAATCAAACTATGTTGATGTTTCTTTGTACTAGGGAAAAACTACTATTATAGAGTGCAATAATATTACTTGATAGAAAAATACTGAGCAGATAACATTCTTATGCAGGCAAAACTGGCCTTTTTTATGATATGACACAAGACAGGAGAGAATTGTTTTGAAAGAAAAATTCCAAGATGAGACTAACAATTATGGTTGTAGCAAATATGACAGGATCCTGTGAAAGGAACCTTTTAGTTATTGGTAAATCTAGAAATCCCAGATGGTTTAAAAACATTTGCTTACTTTTGTAACATATGAAAACGATGTGAAATTATAGACAATATCAAAAATTTTTGTAATATGGTTTCGAAACTTGGATGCTGAATTAAAAAAAAAATAATAAGAAAGTTCTACTTTTGATTGATAATTGTCCTGCTTATGCAGCTGTTTGAAATTTGATCTATATCATAAAATTATACCCTATGACGCATTATTCATAAACACGAAATATGCAAAAATATTGATGACGATTAGAAAAATAAAGGAAGTAAAAAACATAATGGGAAAATTCTGTGGAATTAAACAAATAAATAAAAAAACAAAAGGCAGGTATGAAATGTGTTTAGTGTATCTGTGAGTAAAATCAAAAATGGCATTAAAAACATACATATAGACCATGTTTCCAGCATCATTGTAAAACAATATTCAACAGTTTTAGGTTTTACAGATCACATATTGACTTTTACAAATAGATAAATGAGCTTGTCAACACTGTTATGTATATGTGCAATAACCATTTGTCCATACTAGAATATCTACAAAAAATGAAGAGAGTCAAAGAACCCATTACCTAAAATGTTATTGTAGTAGTCTGTTTAATCAAAATACCAACATAACACCTATAAAATACATATTTTTTCATTTTATTACATAAAATGTATAGTGTCAACCCTAAACCATAATTTGGATAATACAAGCAAACTTACCTGTTGACGATAAAAACATATCCCCTTCTCGCGTTCTGGCATATCTCATACTTAAACCCAATACAGCATTCTGAAGAGTTAAAGTTAGTAAGCTAACATATTTCAAAAATGAATTTGTATCTGCAAAGTTCAAAACGAAAGAGGTATAAGCAACAGTTAAAACTCAGAGAATTTAAATATTTACCAGTCTTTTTCTGCATTTTGATGTCTGGATGTTTGTCTTTGATATTGTTTACCAACGGGGAATTTTTCTGTAAGAATCCACAAAAATAAACACAGTGTTTAGAATCTTATTAAATTACAGCGACACATGTATTCTATAATGTATTACATTTGGTGTCAAGCAAATTTTAATACATGTTTCACTCACATAAAGGATTAATTCAGTAGAGGAGAGTCATACAATACTTTATATATGACATGGACTTATCACTTTAGTCTGAAGTTAGATACTTCTACCATAGACGTACACCAGAGTATTTTGAGGAGGTTTTGATTTTTTTGATTTAATTATTTATTATTTGAATTATAAACAATATTTTATACTAGTAATTCTAATTTAAAATCAAAACCATAAAATATTTTATTTTTTTTAATAGACAGTTTATAAGGACTATATATGAATTCTGCATAATAGTAACATTCTTATAATTTGTTATAAAAACCTTTATAATTTTTAAATCCCCGCCCATATTTTTCAATTATATTGAAGGTCTATATTATTTGCTTTGGTACTGTAGACTGACATTGACAGACAGTCTATATTTTAAGGTTAATGTAGGTAAATAAACATTAATCAGTAAACTATTTTGTGTACATATAATAATAATAATAATTCTATCATGAAGTTTTATAAAGCTAAAGTGGCCGATGTATTACGGTTGCACCAAAGGGATGAATTATTTATAATGGATGCAGAACAAAAAATGCACCTGTTTTTAAAATTGATGGGATCAGGCAATTATCACAGGTTGAATTCTTCCATTTCTACTATAGCAAGAGTTTGGTATTATTTTATGACATCTATGGAAAAATTACAAACTTTGGGTGAAGAGTATACTGGAACAATAAGATTTAATACTAGTAATCAGATTCCTTCGAAATCTGTAAGTTTTATAGGTTTTATGTATGTATAGAAATTAGAATTAAGTTGATTTATCCAGTAGTTAAATTTGTGTACTAAAATTATGAATGTTGATCTGGAAGGTCTCAAAAGCATAGCATTAGCAAATATTGAAAAGTCCTGAAATTAATATTTTGTTTAAACCTGTACAAGTGCCATTGTATTTACAGGATAAAACCTCTATGAATCTAAAATTTATATTAGTACATTATGCTTTAGTTACTGATAATGTGGTATGCTTTTTATTGGGTGCTTAAGTGGCAGCCATAGCTCATTAACTTGGTACTGGTTTAGTAAGCTGGAGGGTCCAGTACAGACACAAGAAATTTTTCAATTTCTAATGTAACTCAGCTGCCAGCTTACTTCAAGGGGCATGTAAATCCTTTTAGTTGGGGCTATGTAAGTAGTCATTGACAGTAAAATCTGAAAGTTATATGAATGGAAGATGTACAATAAGCCAGTTTCACATTACAACCAGTTATAAAAACAAATGTAAAAAACCCTTGTATAGTTGATACGTCTCTCAAAAATTGCATTCTTTTGAATTTTTATTTTCACTTTCGTGGATAATTAAATTTAGTTATATGTTTGGGGTACCAACTTTTGAAGACTTGGTAAAAAATGGTAAAATGTAAAAGTTATGTGGTTTATTATACCATATTACAATTAACAAAGGAAAATTAATCAGTCAAGAAAATATTAGAAATTCCTACAAACATTTTGTCAAACTTGTTCAAAACCATATTATATTGTCATATTTTTAATCTGTATTTATTGTTCAAGTTGTCACTTTTATGGTTGATACTACATGTTGGGGGAGAACCTATGTTGGATAGGATATTAAATTATTCCAGGAAAAAGATTTCAGCAAATCAAAATTTACGAAGTGATGCAAAATCTTTACTACTGAAATGTATTGCAATTATAAAAGAAGAAAAATCAACACTCAAAAGGATACACAATGCATTATTCTACATGGATGGAAGATATTATAATATTTCTAATAGAGTCACAGGAATTCAGTATGTAAGTTGAGTAAAAAATATCAAATTGTATTTTGTTATCAATATATGTGAAACTCTAGGTTAGAAATATTTATACAGGTCTTTGATTTTGAAGAAGCCTTCAACCAGTGTGTAATACTGATCCCAATAATTAAAATAGGTTGTGGAATGATATTTGGTTATGTTTTAACATTTTAAAGTATGTTTTAACAAATATTTTTGGAAAAATTAATTAAAAACTGTATTCAACATAGCAATTATTAACAAATATTACTTCTACATAGATGTAAAAGTAAACCCCTTGGTTCAATGGGGTTCATTTCAATAAGACCTGGTTCGTTTCAATGACCAGGGTTTTCCAGGTCATTAATTAAAATGATTCATTTATAAAGATCCATTCATATGAATGACATTAAATTTGTTGTGTAAAGGTCAAGTGTGTAGAGTTTAATATTTGTATTCGTTCATTAGAATGACTTTAATTATATTGTTCTTTACATGTAGAATTCGATATTGTTACTATAAATTGAAGAATGAAATATAGTTTAAGGCTGATATTAAGATTTGTATTTCTCAAATCATCTTCAGCAATCATTGAAATATAAAAAAAAATACTTGAAAAAGTTAAGAAATATTACAAATTCCATATTGTTAGGTTCATGAATGAATGATAATGCCACAATTAAAATGGATTTTATTTCCTACAAATTTATAAACAAAACAGACTACAGGACTATTGCCTCGACAATTCGAATGTATATAATTTTACAGTTTTCAGCGTAAGGGTTTCGCCATTCTGGGAAACTGAAATCAGTGTTTGAACAATCCATTGCGGTTCGCGGTTCATGCATTAATTTGACTGAGCAACGTGTTGAGATCACACAGTTCGTTTTGTAAACACTAGACAGTGTCATTAATAGTAATAGTGTCATTTGAAAGATAGGGTCGCAGAATGTGATTGTATCAATCACGGATCTTCGAAAAGATCAGATCTTTGTGAATGGACTGTTTGTGACCTTCTCATCACTACTTTGTATCTATGTCGAAATATAAAATGTAGAAATACATGCTCATTTGATGAATAGTTTTTATTAAATCTTTTAGCGCTATTTATTTTGGGCAGTGGATGAACTTTTATGCATTTGATTTCAGAAAACTTAGGTGGTTCATATGGGGTGAAATTTTAAAATTTTTATTCATAAAAATATTTATTGTTTATTACTACCAGTATTAACTGATATTTGCCCATATTAATATAATTATGTATCCCTTCTAAAGTAATTCCATTTACTACCTTATTCATTTTATTATTGTATTAAAATGGGTTTTATTTCTTTTTTCAGGTACTACTGAGACAATGGCTGGAAGATGATACTTTTACAGGAAGTTTTTCGATCTTGGGTAATTTATCTTTATTCTATGTCTTATTAAATTTTGTTATGAAGATGTTTACTCCAAGTAGCAGTTACAACACCCTGGAATCCGAAATGTCTGCAGTAACTTCGAAGAAAGGATGCATTTTGTGTACAGAAAATATTAAATCAGCCTGTTCAACCCCCTGTGGACATATATTTTGTTGGAATTGTATATATGAGAGTTTACAGTACCAGAAAAATTGTCCCATTTGTAGGGAAGAAGTTAGTCCTAGTAGAATTATATTTTTGCAGAATTTTATATGAATGATCATTAAATATATAATTTCGTTAGTAACTTAGTGTTTTTTCTTACTACTAGACTGGGGCTGTATTATGCACCTATTAATTGATTATCAAGATCTGTTGTACTCTTTTGGGGTTTAAGGACAGTGTATTCTTTTGAGAGGAAAGTTTTTTTTTTTAAAGAACCTTAGAATTCTCTCAAATTATAATTTCTTAATATGGTGAGGTATTAGCATATCTTCCTCAAGATTCCGTAATATATAACGAGCAACTGTCTAGCATCAGCAAAATATACGCTACGTCTGGCAGATATAAAGTATTATCCTCTTAGTTCTTTGACCGGTTCATCTGACTGAAGCTATTATTTTTAAATAAGGTGTAATTATGAAGCTAGTTTCATTGCGGAAGTCATATAAGTATAATTAGAGCTGTCTACAATACTACTAAAGCTTTATAGCTAAAATATATAATTATAATAACACATAAAAATCATCAGATAATAAATTTGATTAGTGTATAAACTAAATAATATGTTTAAAATATTAATTGTATTTATATGAAATTATTTTAAAACGAGAATTGTTTTAAAATTTAAACAGATGATTCAATTAAAAAAAACACAGAAGTTAAAACACTTCACAAATGTGTATGTAGGTATAAAACAAACAAGTTAAAACTTTTTAAACAAGTGTCGTCACATTTAAAGTTCTGGCAGAACGTTTTCGATCACTACGGATCATCTTCAGTGCCTAGTATTTGTTGCTAACTATATAAATATGGTGTCTATAAGACTTCCATGTTTGAGTTGGTAAAGTGTCACATTTTACATTAGGTAATGTTGATACTGTAGGTCGATGACAATGGATGTATTTAAAATTTAAAATTTTTTACTTTAGGGACTACATGTCTCCTAAGCTCGAGTACTTGCACATTGTCCTGGACAACGTGCAAGTACTCGAGCTTAGGAGACATGTAGTCCCTAAAGTAAAAAATTTTAAATTTTAAATACATCCATTGTCATCGACCTACAGTATCAACATTACCTAATGTAAAATGTGACACTTTACCAACTCAAACATGGAAGTCTTATAGACACCATATTTATATAGTTAGCAACAAATACTAGGCACTGAAGATGATCTGTAGTGATCGAAAACGTTCTGCCAGAACTTTAAATGTGACGACACTTGTTTAAAAAGTTTTAACTTGTTTGTTTTATACCTACATACACATTTGTGAAGTGTTTTAACTTCTGTGTTTTTTTAAACGATGGTATACAGCCAATTACGGGGTTTTTCCCATTAATTATGATTCAATTACTATTAATTGGATGACATTTATGACTTAAATTTTGACAATTGTTGCGAATCAAATCTTTTATTGACAAATAATATTCTTTAAATTAGTTTACTTCTTGTTTGAGGTCTGTATTTTTTAAGTTATTTTTCATGCCGTTTTTAGCAATTTAAACCTGCTTAGAATAAAATTTATTATCTTATATATATTTAATATATGAGAAATATATATAAATCGCCAGAAACCAATTATTTCCGTGAATTTAGGTGATTTTTATATAAATTATACGAACTTTTAACTAACTGATAGTTTCCAATGAATTCTGACAAACTAAAATTTTATTTTAAGTACTGGCAAACTTCAATGGAAGTCTAATTGAGAAAATAAATGTCACTCAAAAAAGAATTTTTCTGTTTAAAATATTTGTTGGTTAAATTAATTCTTAATTCCGATATAAGAAATCTAAACTGCTTCAATATCGACTATCCAATAATAAAATCTGTGAAAGTTTGTGAATATTTTTTTACTGTCAGCAGATATTTAACATCCTAAACCATCGATATAATATATCGATCGATATAATATATCGATATAACCATCGATATAATATAATATATTATATCGATGTCTTAAACATATTTTTTATTTTTAATACAAACAAAATAAGTCTATTTAATATCAAAAATATTTTAAAACCTTATTTAACTTTTCCGCCATTTCACCTACATCTTTTTCATTATGTCAACTTCATGTCACTCTGATGCTGATGGCATGATGGATGAATATCAATATGACCGCAGTTTATAATTTTTAGCTTTTTATCCCCTGGGATATTACCCGATAAAGGAAGAAGAAGAAAAATTTTTAGGTTATGAAGTTGAATTAATAAAAACATGATCGGAAATAAAATATTAAATACTTTTTTAAAACAACAGCGAATTAGTGTTATTCGTAAATTTAGTTCTCAAATTAACATTGAAAAACTAGAAGAGGAATCTAATTTAAGTCCCAGTGATTGTAAGTCTCTCCAATAAAATTAGAAGTTTGTTAATGATCTAATTATTTACACATACTCATGAACTTTTAACCTTTTTTTTAAATTAAATTGTAGAATAAAATGAATTCCATTAGACTAATGGTCTATATTATAACATTTCTAATTAAGTGCCTTGATAACAAAGTTTTGGTTTATTTCAGTTATAAGTGACGAAGCAAAAGCTAGAGATGCTATAATCGAACAAAAACGAAACAAATCTCGTCTTAGAGAACAGGGTAGAAGCATATTAATGAATAAAAATCCTTACCCTGAGCCTTGTGCTTCCCATCACGGAACCTTAAAATATATTAGACGAACCTATGGATGTTACGGAGAAGCTTCAGGAGTAAATCCTTCTCTGTGTTGGCCTGTAAAAGAAGAATTAGATAGTTCAAAAGAATATGAAAGGCTTAAGCATCCATACACTATACCAGAAATGATTGCTGAAGCAGCAAAGTTAAAGAAAGAGAAAGAAGAAAGGACTGCTATGAGACAGGAGGAAATTGTTAAGAGAATGCAAAAATTAGAAGGATGGAAACAGGATTTATTCAATAGAATAGCCAAAAAGGAAGCTGAAGCAAGATCAGTAAAGGTTAGTAATCTTTTGTAAAATTTTTGATGTGATTTTTCACTAGTAGAAATGTTACTTATGTCAATTTTTGATGAAAGTTAGATTCATTAATCATTATTGCTATTGAATTAAATTAGAATGGCAAAATGTAAATATTTTAGGTCTGTTCCCTTACCACAGGATGTGGTTTAAAATACAGTGTTCTAATCTTTATACTAATGGCATTTAAATGATAGTATACTTTCTGAATCTTTATTTCTTGATTATTTTTAAAGTTTACTGGTTCATGTTTTTCCAAATTTTATATTTTTGAATGGTTCTAGCTATTTACATAACTAAGCTGGGCATTTTTAAAGTTGTATCAGTTTGTTACTGTTTGTCATTACTTTTATCCAGAAACATTGACTTTTTATATATATTTGCATATTTAACATAAACGTTAATGGTTTTGTTTGTGTTAAGGTTATATTTTCTGTCCTGGCATTGTCAGTTTTGGTCTCCCTCAGTCAGCCTCAGTTGGGTTTGCAATGTATGATTACTGTGCTTATCTCATACTTGCTCAATATGTTTTCATGTTTCTCATCACTAGATACTACCTACTAAAGCTATATAGTTGGTACTACCATACAAATATTAGTTTTTTTAGAGATTCTTAAAGAAGTTTTCAGGGTGCATCTTGCTAAGTTTGAAACAAAAGTGATACAAGACACATGATGCATTGTACTGGAGACCATAATTTATCATGTTAGTGAAAACTGGCATGTGCCAAAAGATGTAGATCAGGATAAAATCAAATGGGCAATTAACTCATTTCATATAAATCACCAGGTTTGAATGGGATTTATCCAATACTTCTACAGAATGAAAATGACTGATAAAAAAACAAAAAATATGTATGATACTACAGGCTAGCTTAGGATTGGAGTACATAGCAGAAGCTTAGAGGCTCATAGGGATGGCTTTTATACCCAAATCTAGCAAACTGGACAGAAAAAAGGCAAGTCTCTTAAACCTGGATGAGTCTGGTTTCATTTATACTGTGGATTCTAGTAGAGAAACTGCTAAATTGGCACATTAGAGATGGTGTATTGGTTGAAAGTCTTATATATCAGGAACAGTATGAATATAAAGTAGGATTCTCTACAGAAACAGCACTATACTATCTCATAAGGAGAGGTATGAGAGGTACATTCTGGAAATTCAAGAGATGATGATTATTTCTTGATGTGAACAAAGCATTCAACAACACCTCTTACAAAGCAATCACAAGGGCAATTTATCTAATAGAAATAGGCACAACAAGCTAAGAAGCTATATATAGATCAACTTACTGCATGCTAAGAATTCATGTGATATATGCAACATTACTGGGGGATACAGTATCAACTAAGGTAGCCAAAGGGTGCCTGGGCTATCTAGTCATGTTAGTTCACAACAAACTGTAATTTTTGTAAAATATAAATTGTGCAAAAATACAGATGAAAGTCTGTATTTCAGGCAGCAATGTATGCAATCTTATGCAAGAAAAACTAACTTAAGTTGTAAACTCTATAACAGAGAACCTGAAATAGTCCTAGACAAGTCTTCTATGGAATCTTGATGATTGGTTTGAATAGTTTTCCCTTGTCATAATTTTTTAATTGAATTTGCTTCATTAGTTATCATTGCTGATTAGCACTGAATTTGAATTTTGCTTTTTAAACTGATATCTTAAGAAATATGTAATTTGTGATTGTAATTTTTTTCACAAAATATTTTTGTTTTATATCAGACAAACTTTTGTCTTCCTTCACAACTCTCTAAGAGTTTAAATCTTTTTGTTAAAAGAAAACCCATGTAGCTTCTGTTTTATTATATTTTGAATATGTTCATCAATATCTAGTGTCTGTTTACCTAGATATTTTTCCTGTTCTCAAGAATCCAATAAAATAGTAGATCTAATGACTCCTATTAAAAAAAAAATTATTTAATCCTATCATATTAAAACGAAACCCTCCATGCATGTCTCTAACAGTATATGTCTATATTTCTAACAGTAGCAAATGACACATTTGACACTACTGTCTTCTACAGTGTTGTTGCTTTAATTTCAGGATAGAAGAAAACAAAAATATTTAGAATTAAAGAAAAGTCTTTGTTTTTTTTATAATATTCACCTTTGCTTATGAGGTAACCAATTATCAAAGTATTTGTTCAGCGAGATGATATAAGGAAACTTTAATTTTTAAATGATTCAATGGCTGGTATTAAAAATTGTTCAACTTCTTATAGTGCCATGCACCTATAGTGCATTGACAAATTATCTTAAGACCAGATAGATCTTGCCAGAGTTATTTATTCCTCTCCAGTTCTTTATGTTCCCTAACCATGACATTTGTTTGCTACCTACTTCTATCTAGCCCTTAATCTTTTCTTGGACAATTAGTTGAGGGATTGCATATCTTTTCCCATATATTGCCCAAATAATTTTTGAACATTGATCAAGTTGAGTAATTCTCTTTCAGTATTTGCTCTTCTTAACAAATCCTTGTTTCTCACCCTATCCATCAATGGTATGTGGAACATTCTTTACAGGATTCACATTTTGAAAGCCTCCAACTTATTAATGGAGCATATTTTCATCATTCTGCTCTTAAATTGTATGTTTTTTCTTATTGTCATAAATTTAGTTTTTCCTGCATTTATCTTCAAGCTCTATGTGTTTCGTATGTTATTTTATTTAACAGCAACTGGATATCATGTTCGTTACCTGTGATTATTCCATTATCTCTTTATCGGGTACCTGTTGAACTTTATACCACATTCAAAGCCTTCAAGTGTATCTGCAAAAATATTCTCCACATAGAGATTAAATACACACTACAGAAAATACAGCTCTGTTATACCCCTCTTAAAATGTCCACCTCATAAATGATTTTTGACTTTTGGAAACGTAAATAAATTTAAAGAAACAGTCATATTATAGCACTCGGCAATTAAAATTCTAGAATGTTCTTCTGAAATTTACATGTCCAGTTTTTGACAAAAAAACAGGAAATTATATGTTTGAAAATGCTACCACATCGCCTGACATTGGTAGGTTATTTGGTTTCTGGATTTTATGCATAAATCGAAATCAAGTGCCCATCAGACAAGATGTCAGCTGGGATTTTTCATAGTGCTTTTCATAGAGTTTTCATTTGAGGCTTTGATGATCTGTAATTACCACAAAACGGTAATCTTCTAGATATGTTCTCAGTTTTTCTTATTTTTCAAATGCTAAAAATTATTGCTTCATATTCTTTTTCTGTAGCTTTTGTTAATGTCGTCAATTTGGTTCTGAGTATGTGGAGGATCTGTTTCAAACTTACTTGCTAAGCCCTTTCGGAATTCTTCTCCATTTGTTTTTACTTTGAAGACATCTATCCGCATTGTTTTTATATGGATCCTTTTTCTCTCTTCTTCCATGTTAATATTTATTTTCGTCCCAACTATACGATTGTCACTACCAGTTGTTACTGGTACTACACATGTCTACTTTCTGTTAGGTTTATTTTTGTAAAAAGTATTCATAGCATACATGTTTTCATGAATTTCATAACTTTCTAGAATTCTTTGAGTTATTAAAATACATAAAATTTAAAGAAATGAGGTTTCCTGTTGTATGCAATTTAAGAGGTATGATTTTAGAATTAAATATAACATTTTTTAGACAAAGACCCTATAGGTGTGTTAGGCAATGGAAAAGCTGACAGTTTGGTAAAGGATGTAGTATAAAAGTTATATACGAGCTGTTTACCGTGCTTTGGAGGGCACGTAAAGCCGTCAATCCCTGCCGGTAAAGCATCGACACTAGCTGCTTGAAACAGGGTTCCAGATGAAATTGGTGCCAGAACCTCTTCGAAAGGATCTTCCCGGAAAAAATTCCATACTATATTAGCATTATTACAATAAAAAAAATAAAAAATGGTTAAAACGGGAACGAATTGAGTGGAAAATATTGTAATAAATTCCCGAAATACGTATTTGCAAATAAATTAAACTCTAACACCTCCACCCCAAGACGTTTTCAATATTATGTCCCCACTTCTTGCTTAACTTGGCATTTCAGATCACAATTTGTAGGTGTGATCAAAGCTCCTAAGAAGATCTTAACTATCTTAATAACTTAAAAATCCTTGTTACAAAAATTATTTATAAAAATCTGTTGATTTAATTCATACAGTTAACGAAATGAAATACTTCCTTTAAATCTCACTCACATCTTGTTAACCACAAATAGAAACACTTTAGACATTTTGATAAATTTCATTAGATAAGTAAAAGTACACGTTTTAAATAGCATAACCTCCAACTGTGTATTCTTATTACATATAATAAAGGTTTGGTTTTGAATACAATTTGATTATAACTCGAAAAAAAAAAAAAAAAAATTTGTCTTTATTGTACCACTTTATTTATATTCCAGATCGAGTAGGTACTTATATAGTATCTGTTGGAATTTCAAATAAATTACAATGGACACCCATCATCCTCTTTGGCTCAACAATCCTCCGTGGCCTGCTCTAAGATTAGTCGCCATTCCGTTCAGTTTCTGGCCATCTTGTTAACATCTTCTGATCTAGTATTCCTAAGTCGGTTTCAACTCCATCTAACCACCTAATTCGCGGTAGGCCCCTGCTTCTTGTTCCTGTAGGTGTTCCTTTCGTTAGCTTTTTCACAATCATCTTGTCAGGCATTCATATTATGTGTCCGGCCCATCCAAGTCGCTATGTTTTAATAAACGTTACGACATCTGGTTCATTACTTACTTTCTGTGTCCGGAACACCAACAGCTTTAAATTTTGTGTTTCCAATGGTAGGCCACATAGATGGCCCTGTCATTCGCTAAGAATAGGTCTTCTTCTGTGTAGGTCTCTCTCATCTCTGTGCATGATAGTAGATGGTGATTATTCTGAACTGCGCTACAGTCGCAGGTATCGTCCTCGTGTTATCCCTATTTCTTCAGGTTACTAGCACAACGTGAAACGCCAGTTCATAGT